ATAAAAGGAGACACCAAACGCGTGTTGCTTCCAGCGACTCTTGCTTGTGCGTAGCTTGGCCGGCTTCCCGGAGGGGCTCTCTTGGCTGCCAACTTCTCTTGTCAAGGGGTGGATTTCAGGGAATTCCCGTGTTTAACGTCTCCGACCGTGTCACCGGGAGCTGGGATTTCAGTCCTGACAGCGGTTCTTGCACATCTACAACTTTTCTTGAAACAAAACCATTTTATAGCACGTTTATACAACACAACTTGAATGTACATTGCAATGTTGCTAGTATGTAAATGCTGACCAATAACAAGGCCCCTGCCCCACGTACTAGTTAGCTTATTTTTTCCTTCGTAGTATGTAAAGACCAGCATTATAATAAATTACGGTAAGGGTCTGATTCATGGACAGTGATAATTTTTGAAATTTAATCATTTGGAAACTGAGAGATGATATGAATGCTTAGGAAGTTGGGAAATCAGTGGTACGGTATTCCATACTACCTAGTTGGTGTCGGTCCAGAGTTAAATTTCTGAAATTCAGAAATTTGATAGTGTTAAACCAAGCTGTAGCATTTATGAAAAAAATACTGATATGGATCAGTAAACAACTGGAGTAGATGGCTTGTGATAATCATTGAATGAAAATTGTATATACTACTTTCTTTTTGGCTGCAAGTCTCAAAATGTTGTGTTATATTAATTTAGGAAGTAGGGATGTTAAATTTCTATTAAATAACTAATCAACTAGTTGATGGGATTTCCATTGATTATTCCATTAGTCAATAAGGACTAGCACTTTCTGCCTTTCAAAGATTGAAATGACGTGTGGAGCCTGGGATGAGTGGGGGACTACCTGCTGGCCCCGGGCTCCACGCGGTGTTTCAGTCTTTGCAGTTCATAAGAGCTCTCTCTGGGGCTCTTGTACATTTCAAAGAGGTGGTGCCACATGGAGCCTGGGGCCAGCAAAGGACTCTGAGCTCCCCAGGCTCCCTGCAGTGTTTCCGCATTGAAATGTACAAGAGCTCCAGTGAGAACTCTTGTACATTTCAAAGGCTCCATGCAGGCTTCCTCTTTGAAATGTACAAGAACCCGGGGTGGGGCTCTTGTGCATTTCAAAGTTGGAACACAGCTGCTGCACTCCTGCCCCCTCCTACAGAGCTGGAGCTGGTGGGAACTGGTTCTTTGTGATAGAGGCAGCAAACGGGGGGAAGTGACTAGTGTGTCGACTGTCCAATAAGCTTTTGCTTATCGGGTAGTCAATTAGTCGCTTACATCCTTAGTAGGAAGATGCCTAATGCACAGGCAACAGTTTAGGAAAAGATACCATGGCAAAAGTGTAATTAGGACATTTTGTTGCTTCAAAAATCTTAATGCCCTTCTAGACTTTCACAGATAATATGTAAAAGTGATGCTGCATGTATGTAGTATCACTTTTATTATTTTTTTTCCATAGTACTTTTTCTCCAAGGATAAATGTAATTTGACTTCGTAAAAGCTTTTAGGTAACTGGCATGGACTTTTGTAGCCCCTGGACGGAGGTTGACCACTGGTGGTAGGCCTCAGTCGTACTTGCTGGGGAAATCATAGTGAGGTGCTACAAGCTTTTAAACCCCTAGTCCAGTATTTCTCACAGTGAGCTGTGGGCCTGCTTTGGTAAAGCCTCTAGCTTCCAGACTGCTTTGTTTATCTAAGGATCAGAAGCCACAGAACCTCATGGATCCCATTGGCTCCGGTTTGCCTTGGGGATGTAAACTACTGGTCGAGTAGTCAAGTCACTACTCCACTAGTTCCTTCCCTTCTCTCACAGAGGCAGTGGGAGGTGGTAGAGCAGGAATTGGTACTGGGGGGAGCAATCTTAAAACTGCTACTTAACATCCCTAGTTTGCCCTTGGCTGGAAACAGTGAACCAGAGCCAATGGGGGAGCAGTGAGGCTCTCTGGCTACAGACCCATAGATAAAGCTGCAAGGCCCGCTGTCCACTTTGAGAAGCACTTCCCTAGACTTAAGTGTTCTTGCTGTCATTTGGGGCTGTGAGTCTGTAACCTTAAGTGGGAGCCCTTGAAGAAGATCAAGTTGATATGAAAGCAGCTATGTACGCAAGTTTGAATGGCATTAAGTGGCACATTTATTTGGCTTTTCCATCTCCAGAGATCTCGGATGAAATCACTATTGAAGAATATTGGTCAGATTTTCACCCTGGTTTCAATGTCTCACAGTAAAATGTCTGGTGGAAGTGAATTTAATGACATTTACCCATGTTACAAAGTGGTCATGTAGTTCTATTTAGAAAGCCACTGAGGGCGTGTCCAACTAGGGATAAAAAGCCTACAGCTGGTCAGCATTAGCTGACTCTGGATCACAGGGCTTATGTTTCCGGGCTGAAAAATTGCTGTGCAGAGGTTTGAACTTGTACTGGAGCCTGAGCTCTAGGACTTTGCAAATGGAGTATGGTGTCCCAGTGCTCGGGCTCCAGCCTGATCCCAAATATTTACACAGCAATTTTTAGCCAGTTTTTGAGCCTGGGCTAGGTAATACGGTCCACCGCTGACTTTATTGAACATTAAATTTTTAGCGTAGACTAATCAGAGGTAAATGTAATGGCAGGGGGGAAACAATTCAAAAGCTTACCAGTTTGGTATAAAAACCCATTAAAACTTAAATTTGTTTTATGGGGACATTTTAAATAGCATTCAACATTCATGTTTTTTCGGTAAATTCTGAAATATTCTACACTATATTTTAATGAAAACTGCTCTGTATGCTCTTCTACTATTTAAGCTAGCAGAATGAAAGAAATGCTAACCATTTTTTACTTTAACAACTTTTTTTAACTAGTGTGCTTATGAAAAATATTCCCTTTTTTTCTTCTTTCCTATAAAACCTATTATGAATTGCTGTTGACATATGGTTGAGGTGAAGGTTTAAAAACCTGCCAAACCAGCTGTGCATGAAGTCAATTCATTCTATTTAAAAGGCCTTATGAAGTCTATTTGTCTGCACCAAAGTAAGGATGTTAAGGACTAGTAGACTATCCGATAAGCAGGGGCTCTTGTACATTTCAAAGGAGGAATGTGGAAGTGCCTATCAAGTAGTCGATGGAAATTCCATTGATTACTCGACTAGTCAATTAACTGCAATTTAACATCCTTACGCCAAAGGGGACTTTTAAAATGGCTCTCTGTGGTGTATTTGCATGAGTCAAGGTTTGCGGGACTCAATTTTGTCTAGAATAGTGAGGAAGAGTTAAGAGCTTGGAATTGCCAAATGCATTAATATTGTGCCATTCTTTAAAAAATGATGTAGGTGCTCTGTATGTGTTTTGTAAACCAGGACAAAAAAGTGGTGACTTTAGAAATAATAGGGCTGACTCCTGCAGATCCTTGTCATGAAAACACAGCTTGATGGAAGTGTGAATCTTACCAGAATAAAGATTTTTCCCTTCAGGACATTTACCCTTTTAAATCATAGGTTAGAACAGTGATCACCAACCAGTAGATCGGGCTCTACCTGCAGGTAGATCTTGGAGCCTGACAGATGATCCTGACTGACTTGGCAAGGAAGCTATCAAGTGCTGGCACTTCAGTTGTCCCTCCCCCCCACTGTCGCCCCCCCCCCCCCCCCCCGGGAGCCTCCTGTTTGCTGTGCAGGGTGTGGGAGAGAGAAGGGAGGGGGTGCTGATGTCAAGGTGTCCCTCTGCCCCCCACTTCTGTACCCTATTTCCATACAGAGAAAAGGGGATGGAGGGAGCTTGGCAATGCAAATCTGTCACACTCTCACACTGTGTGTATCTCTGTCATTCTCACAAACATACACTCTCCTTCATCCTCATCTTCTGACACAACACATACATGAGGGGTTCTTATTACTTCTGTTACTGCTTGCAAAGTGTGTTATTTTTGGTGTTTGACTGGTCTGTGCATTTCATTATTTTCATTTTTCTCTTGTGTTTAAATTTAATTTTTTGTGTAGTGAGTTCTAAAATGCCTCATCTGTCATGGCTGGAGTAATTATCCCTAT